CCTTCGCCGCCGTCGCGGTTGGGTGACAGCCGGCGGTGTGCCACCAGGACGCGGCGGCCACTGGGCCGGGTCAGGATGTGGTGGTTGTAGTAGATGCGGTGCAGAAGCGAGTGGACCAGATCCAGGAACATGAAGCGAAAGCCCGCCATGGGGAAATGACGGGCGTCCACCACCCGATCCAGGCCCACCAGCGGCACGTTCTCCTCCTCCTCCTCCTCCGCCGGCCCGATGTCGGAATCTTCCTCAGCGATGCCGATCTCCGGGGCTCCGGCCACGGCCATGGCCGCCGCCTGGCCACCCTCCTCCTCCCCGAGGCCTCCCGCGGACCGTGCGACTCCGGCCGCCTCCACCACAGGCGCCATGACGCCGCCGTAGTGGGGGCCGGAGTGGCCGCCCACCCCGTCATCGGCTCCTGCCCACGCTCCCGCCCGGCTCACGGGGCCTTCCTGGCCCTCTGGGGTCGCGTCTCGATCCCCTGAGGCGGACATGACAACAGCTGGTACCTCAGCGGGCGGCGATCGCGCTGGGGCGTCGACGGCCAAGATGGTGGCCTCTGAGGCGGCTGCAGCTGAGGGGAGGCCGTTGGCAGAGCGGCCTGAGGAAAGGCAGAGGGGTGGCCAAGGGACAGCTGTTGAGGGGACAAGAGTCTATAGTGGAGCCTGAGGAGGCCCCGCGACAGGAAGGGCAGGGGTCTAATCCCAGGGGTGGCCCGCCACCCAGACCGCACCTGAGATGGCTCCGACGAGTCGGGAAAGATTCCGTTGTGACCGTTGACGGGAGGTGGACCGGAAGGGTCAACTAAGGGCCGTGTCCCCTAGTAGCGAGCTCTAAGCTCATTTGCTGAAAGGTGGAGATTGACATGCCCCACGTCCAAGGAATGATCAAGGCACTCCACGGAATCCGGGATCACCTAGGAGCCCCTGGTGACCCGCCCTACCCTTTAGGTCCAAGCATGTCGTGCCCTTTTAATGTCAGGATTGTTGACAGAAGTATAGGGGCCACTGTGGCGTTCCCCTGGGGTGTGCGAACTGCAAGGAGTTCAGAGTTTACTGATTTCCCTCTGGTAGTGGCTCATGCAAGTAGAGATAGGGTCATCAAAAGGTGATACAGCTCAGAGCTAAGCACTAGTAAAACCTCCCCAGAAGAGAGAAGAATTTTGACAATTAAACTTGGTTAGAACTATTTAGAAAACAATGGGCAAAGTTGAATTGGTTGCATTCAGATGTGAGTGTTAAATAGGTGGTAAAAGACAGGCGTTGGAAGGTGTTTAATGAGCCCTGCCAAATTCACCACAAGCCCCCAAGAAGGAAAAAAAGACTTTTTCATAACGGATGAGGTCGCCCCCTAAGAGCTAAGCATGGCGCCGGCGGAGACAGACAACACGGCCGCCTCCGAGGACGCTTCTGAGGCAACAGCCCAAGACTTTGTTTCAAGACCCTCTTAATCAAGACGACAAGTGTAACTAATTCTGAAAATTTTGGAGAAATCAACTGCCAGTTTACATTCATTCTATAAAAAATGTTTTGGCACACTAAAACTAGTTTTGAAAAAAATTTTCAAATAACATATTTCAGATTATTACATTTAGAAAAAATATACCATTAACTCCCTCAAGTTAGGCAAGGATTTTTTCCCTTTCCTAAACTCAATCAAATTTCAATGCTTTTATTTTTCTTCTGGTCTCACCTCAAGGATAGAGCATGGTGTTGTCATATATCATTGATTTGAATCTGGAAGGCAATGTAGAAATTTTTTATTTCAGTGGTTTTAGGGTTACAAGTGGTTTTTGGTTACATGGATGAATTTTATAGTGGTGAAGTTGGGGTTTTAGTGTACCCCTCACCTGAATAGTTTGCATTGTACTCAATAGGTAATTTTTCATCGCTAAACCCCCTCCCACCCTCCATTCTTCTGAATTTCCAATGAATGATCAAGGTGTTAGGTCTGGAGCTGAGAGAGAGACACACACACGAAGCCTCATGTGTAGCAAAATGCTATTTATTTTGAGCATCTGGATACAGATGGGTGGAGGCAAAAGAGCATCCACCCTGAGGGAGGGGAAAGCCTTGGGTTGTATAGGGGGTTTCTCAAGGGGGAGAGAGTACCTGGGCCAGAACAGCTAGCTGCAATAAAAATTTTTTTAAACAACCAATTCAATTTCTGGGACCCCTGCCTCAGTCTCATCCTGTAGAGGTAAGGGAGGGGGGTAGTTCCCTCCTTATCAGTGGGGATAGGAGTGTCCCAGCTGTCTGCTAGATTTCACAGTCTCCTGGGACTCTCAGACTCCTGAGGCTATTGTTTCACAAACCTCAGTTTTCTATCAACCACATACATACTTTTTGAGTTCCCACCTGGAATAAACCTAACACAAAGAACTACTTAGAATCCAGATTCACCTACCTTTTCTGTGAGGCCGTAGTGACCAGCACTACCCTTAAGGTCCATGCAAGTCCTACCATTTTAATTTTACGATTATTGGCAAAAGTATAGAGGCCCAATGTGAAGGCAAGCTGGGCTGGGGAAACTTCTTCTATAAAGGACAAAGAGTAAACATTTTAGGTTCTGTGCAGACAACTGGCAATATCAAGGCTATTATTTAAGTACATAACAAAGAGAAAAACCAAATCTCCACAGATATTTTATTATTGAAACTAAAAATATAATAAATACATATAATTTTTAATAATATAAGTCTATTAATGAGAAAAATAGTGCTCTTTGGGGAAGATAACATTTTGTTTAATTAGTATTCCAATGTTAGTGTTCTCTGTCATCAAAATTGATTTTAAATGTTCATCTGTTGATCTGTTATAAGGTTTTACATAGTTCATCTTTGAAAATATCTTTACACACATATAGATATGGGCAAATACTGTTATCAATCTCTGAGATAGGTACTTCTATATACTGATATCAATCCACAAGCATATGATTTTAATTGAGCATATTCATCTCTTGGAAGGCATTTGTAGAATTCAATTAGAGTCTTCTCTTGGTCTTTGCCTTTTAGCATGTTATTACATTGCAGATTAATTACTTCCAGTTAAAGTTTAGGTGGAAGCTCCTCAAATGCACAATTAATAAGTGAGTTTGAAATGTAAACATTTCCTGTGCAATTGCATAGAGTTCTGGGAAAAAAGCTGGTAGAACTTTAGTTTGAGCTCAGATAACACATCTACTGCACGTTTCTGCAAGAGTGGAGACTCTCCTTATTTTATCTTTTGACAGCATTGTTAGCACATAAAGCAGCCTAACATGGCTTTGATTCAAGCAATGTTATTAAATAGTTGCCATTGAAATGACTTTGCCACAGTAGAAGTTTCATATGTAAGCACTGTTCACCTTGTAATTTTAGGTTGAATTCATCAAGAAGCATTATCAAACTTATAACAAGAGCTAATTTCCAAAGCCATTTAGTGTTCAATAGTGATAGTTGACAGAGATTTTTCTTGATCAAAAATAATTCTGTCTCAGCCCTGAGATCAAAAATCATACATAAAACAAAAATACCCTGTACCACTGTGTAGTTACAGAATTGCTGTATGGAAGGGCAAATTGGGATATGTTTCTGACAACAGTTCACAGAACTGCAATGGTTAAGTTCCTGAGTACTGGCTCAATAGCACATGAGAGATTTAAATATTTTCTGCAATGTAACTGCTAAATAATATGATAAATAATATGGTAACTGATAAATAATATGGTAAATAACTGTAGGAGTTAAATATTCTCTTTTTGGGGAGGTACCAAATTTCTTTATTTGAAGGAATGGTACAAATGAAAGAACTTAAGTGGATGTTTAGGTACAACTAATAGAAAAGGTAAAGGAAACTCCAACATACATGCAATGCCTGGGGGACAATGGAAGTCACCCCCTGGCTATGGGGAAGTTAGCCTAAGGCTTAGCTCTTATTACCACTGTCTCCCAGGGTGTGCTTGTCAAAGAGATACTCCACTATGCCCTCCCATCTTGTTCAGGTTGGTTACATGGTCACCCTCAGGCCCTCCCATCTTGTTCAGGTTGGTTACATGGTCACCCAATTCTTTCAAGGATTTCACCTGCTTATTCAAGTAAAGTCTCCATGAAGTCACACAAGTGAGGGTCATTTTTTATCAATTTTGTATGGCTCCAGTAGTGACTGATTCATACTTTTTTTCCAAGTGTAACACACACTCCATCACGTACAGCGCACTCTTCCAGTCATCATGGCCTCGTTTCCGGATGTCCTGAAGGAAGATTCGGCCACCTCGTCGGTTCTGCAGCTTCATCAGTTTCTCAGCACGTTCCCTCTCCTCATGAGATTGGTGAAGAAAGTATTTGGCAAAATTCTTCAAAGCCACATCGCGGTCAAAGTAATAAGACAAGGACAAGTGAGTAGACGTAGGAGGGAGGCATAGAGCCCCAGGTTGATCCGGCAGTTGATGGCGCACCCGCGAGCGGGAGGCGGTCGTCATGGCGGTGGCTGAGGAGAGGCGGCAGAAGCTTCGAGGCGCCAGAGCGGCGGTGGGGCCCTTGGGGCGATCTGAAGGCCTGGTGAGGAGGTGGCGGAGGGCTGGCTCTAAGCAGCCGGCTCAGGCTGGGGTCGAGAACCCGTTCCATCCAAGCACTGTAACAGCAGGAAACTCTGACGATTCTCAGCGAAGAATGTCTGGCTAAATACTTTGTATTTTCAAAAGTTTTGTATATTTGTTTATTAACTCTTTTTCTGGGCCATACATTTTTTTTTTAACCACCATCAATTGTAACACAGCAGATTCCACTTCAGGTGATGCTAAATTAGTGCTTTTTCAATTTCTTTGAAAATATTCTCTGTAGTTCCATGCAGACTATTCAAAGAGACCAATTCTTTATTCACTTTAAACATGATTGACTCTTTAAATAAACCACCACCACCTAGCAATATTAATAGCATTGTGGAGGAAGCTGCAGCCTCAAGGCCACATGTGGCCCTCCAGATCCTCAAGTGTGGCCCCTCAACCAAATCCAAATGTCACAGGAAAAAAAAATCCCTTTATTAAAAGGATTTGTTCTGTAAAATTTGGATTTAGTCAAAAGGCAGCACTCCAGGATCCAGAAGGCCACATGTGGCCCCAAAGCCACAGGTTCCCCATCCCATTCACTGGGCATGTATTGAAAATCTTACTATGGCTAGAAGTTGTGGTAGTGGCTACAAATTAACAGATACCTAAGGCCAATGGCTTGCCCTAGTTCATGGTCTAGAGGGGAATACAGACATTTGGACAATGATGACACAAGTCTCAAGTTCTAAAATGAGAATAAGCACAGAGTGCTATGGGAACACAGAAGAGAAAATTATGAGCTAGGAGTATGGGAGAAGGGAAGTGAGTTGGTGCCTGGAAAGTGTTCAGGAGGAGGCATTTCAGCTGGGTTCCGAAGATCACTAGGAGTTTAACTGGTAGTGAAGGATGGTGGAGAGGGAGCTGCTTTTTTGTGCAGGGAGATAGGATTGGGCACTTAGCTTGCTTAGAGCAAAAGGAAACAGCATGAACAATGGCAGAGATGTGTGTGTGTGTGTGTGTGTGTGTGTGTGCGCGCCTGTCTGGGAAAATGGTTGCAGCAGGGAAGAGTAGCAAATGAAATGGGCCTGGAAAGCAGATTGCGATCATAATTACTACTAAAGCTAATTATTACTACTAATAATTATTGCTAAGTAGGATTTCTGCCTTCTATACAAGCACTCTTTGTGTCACCATTCCTTCCACATTTGTCTCCCATCCTCTTCACCTCCTACCTATACTGGTCAACAGTATTCATTAAATTATGTATTTATTCATTTATGAAGCTTATTTGGTGCCTTCCATGTACCAGTGCCATGCCTCCTTGGAACTGCCATTTGTACCTATTGCTTGTTAGGCTCATGAAATCCAAGGATAACAGACTGTCCATGGTCCCCATTTTAGTGCATCCTCCCCTGTCATTTATCTGCCCTTCAGAGGAAGGGTGTCCAAGACCCTCTGGAAGCTGAGCCCTCCCAGCTGCAAAGAGTGTCAATATTCTGATATATTTGTCAAGATTCTAGTTTATACTCAATCATTTCTTCTCCAGTTGCCTCCTTCACTTATCAGAGGGTCTGAAACATAACATGATGACTACTGTCAATCTTGAAGTCTCTGGCAAAGAAGTACACACCAGAAACTTTTTCTTTTTTTTTTTTATTTCGGCATATTATGGGGGCACAGATTTTAAGATTTCAATAAATGCTCTTTCCCCCCTCCCCCCACAAGTCTGAGTTTCCAGCATGACCATCCCCCAGATGGTGCACATCTAACTCATTATGTATGTATATACCCGCCCCCCCTCCCACCTGCCCAATACCCTATTACTGTAGTACCTATGTGTCCACTTAGGTGCTACTCAGTTAATACCAGTTTGCTGGTGAGTACATGTGGTGCTTGTTTTTCCATTCTTGGGATACTTCACTTAGTAGTATGGGTTCCAGCTCTAACCAGGAAAATATAAGATGTGCTATATCACCGTTGTTTCTAAGAGCTGAATAGTACTCCATGGTATATATATGCCACATTTTATTAATCCATTCTTGGATTGATGGGCACTTGGGCTGTTTCCACAGCCTTGCAATTATGAATTGTGCTGCTATAAACATTTGAGTGCAGGTGTCTTTTTTGTAGAGTGTCATTGGATCTTTTGGGTAGATGCCCAGTAATGGGATTGCTGGATCAAATGGCAGATTCACTTGTATTACTTTAAGGTATCTCCATATTGCTTTCCACAGAGGTTGAACTAGTTTGCAGTCCCACCAGCAGTGTAGGAGTGTTCCCCTCTCTCCGCATCCACGCCAGCATTTATTGTTTGGGGACTTTTTGATAAAGGCCATTCTCACTGGAGTTAAGTGATATCTCATTGTGGTTTTGATTTGCATTTCCCTGATGATTAGAGATGTTGAGCATTTTTTCATATGTTTGTTGGCCATTATTCTGTCTTCTTTTGAGAAGTTTCTGTTCCTTTGCCCACTTTTTGATAGGGTTATTTGATTTTTTCTTGCTAATTTTCATGAGTTCTAAGTATATTCTAGTTATCAGCCCCTTATCGGATGCGTAGGATGCAAAAATTTTCTCCCATTCTGTAGGTTGTCTGTTTACTTTCATGACTGTTTCTTTGGCTATGCAAAAGCTTTTCAGTTTGATCATGTCCCATTTATTTATTTTTGTTGCTGCTGTGATTGCCTTTGGGGACTTCTTCATAAACTCTTTGCCTAGGCCGATGTCTAGGAGAGCGTTTCCAACATTTTCCTCTAGAATTCTAATAGTTTCATACCTTAGGTTTAAGTCTGTTATCCAGTGTGAGTTGATTTTTGTGAGAGGTGAAAGGTGTGGGTCCTGCTTTAGCCTTCTACAAGTGGCTATCCAGTTTTTCCAGCACCATTTATTGAAAAGGGATTCTTTTCCCCAGTGTATTTTTTGTCTGCTTTGTCAAGAAACTTTTTCTTTATAGTGGGCACTGGGCTTGCCGTGGAGCAAGTTGTTGTGAAGGAGTGAAGCAGATCATGGAGGAGATAGTTTTATTGCAGTGGCAGCAAGCTGTCTCACCAGGCGGTTGGAGTTGGCTCCAAGTTGCTGGGAGGGGGAACTGATTGGCATTAGCAAACAAAGGAGAAACGAAAAAACTTAGCAAGTATGCTTTCAAGAGGTGAAGTGGCCCAGTGCAGCCACTTACACACATAACCCTAGCACATTGGGAGGCAGAGGTGGAAGGATTGTTTTAGGCCAGAAGTTTGAAACCAACCTGGGCAACATAGCAAGACCCCAACTCTAAAAAATAATTTAAAAATTAGCCAGGCATGGTGATGTGCAACTATAGTCCTAGCTACTCAGGAGGCTGAAGCAGGAGAATCACTTGAGCCCAGGAGGGCTACAGGGAGCTATGATTGCACAACTACAGTCCAGCCTTTGTAACGGAATGAGATCTTGTCTCTAAAATAATGTGAAATTAAACTACCTGAAGTAAAACTAAGGGACAGTCTCCTCCTAGGTCCTACACTGGGGCTGTCTTCATGGCAAGTATGTAATCCAGGAGTCCATAGAACTGTCTCCATAGCCTCAGTCATTTGTCTGAGCCTGCTAGGGGATGCAGACGCATCCAGGGGGTCACACTCCCGATTTCTGCTGTGTTATTGGTGCCTTTCCTTCATCTCCAGCCATCCTACCCATGATATCTGATATTCTACAAGCCAGGAAGTTGGCACACTCAGGATTTCAGATTTCCTCAGGGTAAGGTGCTGTCTTTCCCCACCCCACTCCCTCTGTTGGTCAGTAGAAGTGGCTGAGTCCTCTCCATTTGCAGACCCGCCATCAGAGCCAGGGCGGGCCAGGGGAGGGACCTGAGGCCACAACAACCTGAAGAGGTTTCCACTTAATGTCGGGAATGGCAGAGAACAACACCCCTGGGCGACCAGTCCAAAGCTCTACCTTACAGCCTGGCTCACAACTCACCGCCCCCAGGCAGCCTCTTTCCTGGATCTGCTCCCCCTCCCCAGGCCATCCTGAATGACAGTGAGGCCTGTGAACATGGTCTAGCTCCTTTAAAAAGAACAGGCCCTTTAGGTGGAATGTCCAGGTCTTCCTCAAGTTTGTAACACCCACGGTGCCTGTCACAGGGCTCTGCACAAGTGATTGATAAACGTTTGATAAACGTTTGATAAACGTTTATCAAAAGTGTTTGATAAACGTTTGTTGAATGAATCAAAGGGCTTTGGAATAACTATCACCATTGATGGTGTTTCTCTTCTACCTGCCCAGGGCTTGGCTGTCTACACGGGCCTTCCCATGTCATCGTCCTTTCTTCCTTTGGGTCCTCTCCATGGCCCCCCATGAGGTCTCTGCTCCCGTGGCCGATTGTGATGCTGCAGTGATGCTGGGGACGAGGACGGGTTGCACCCTCAGATGAGACCCTGCCCCTGCCCCTGCCAACAGCAAGTGGCTTGGCCCTTGCTGGCCTCCTAGTTCACTGTGCCACAGCCAGACTGGGCCATGGGTGCTCACGGAAGAGAAACACCCACGCAGGAGCGCTGTCCCCTACAGACAGGGTAAAGAGCCCACAGTTCTCAAGCCCAGCACTTCCTGCTGCTTATGAATGCCACAGGAGGGGCGGGGGATCTTTAGAGGTTCTGGTCTCTTTGGGGACTTGATCTTGACTCCCACATCCGAAGGGGGCCACTGCACAAGCTCTGTGATGTTGAGATTGGCCCCTGGGAGTGGAGTTGCTTGTTAGGGCTCCATCCTCCCTGCTGAGCAGGAACGGCAGCACTGCCAGGCCCCAGTCCTGGGTGAGTTTGTACCCCCAAAGGCCCCTTTATACATATGGGCTCCCCTAGCTTGTGAGGTTGATGCCTTTCCTTGCATGCTCAGTTGTCCTCCCTGCTTTGAAGTTTGTTCATCATTCTTGGTGACACTAACATCAAACCCCTATTGTGAGTTTATAACAAATTCTACTTAACATCTCCACTTGACTATCTCATGGATTTTTCCAACTTGGAGAAGCTAAAACATAATTCTTGATTTGCTCTTCCTCCCCCAGTTGCTCTTCCATTCTAGGAAATAGCACTTCTACTCACCCAGTTGCTCTAATCAGAAACCTGGTAGCCTTCTTTAATTCCTCCCTACATCTATTCTATCTGTCAACTTACCTCCTAAATAACCCTCAAATCTGTCCATTTCTCACCTCTTCAACTACTACCATCCTAATATTAGTTTGGTGCAAAAGTAATTGCGGTTTTGGACTGTGCATTTTAAATCATTATAACTAGGCTCAAACATATATTTATTAATCAAAATAAGGACCAACACAATCAACACATTTTTGCCAATGGGAAATAAGTTTGTTTATTCCTGTAGCGTCAAAATCCATGCTTCAGGATTCGACAAACTCTTGGAAAGCATTTTCTGCATCCTGGTGGTTGTGGAAGCGTTTTCCCTGCAAAAAGTTGTCAGGATGTTTGAAGAAGTGGCAGTCGGTTGTTGAGAGGTCAGGTGAATATGGTGGATGAGGCAAAACCTCGTATCCAAATTCGTTCAACTTTTGAAGCATTGGTTGTGCAACATGAGGTCAGGCATCGTCATGGGGAAGAATTGGGTCTTTTCTGTTGACTGATGCAGCTGCAGTTGTTGCACTTTTCAGTGCATCTCATCGATTTGCTGAGCATGCTGCTCAGATATAATGGTTTCGCCACCATTCAGAAAGCTATAGTGATTCAGACCAGCAGCAGATCACCAAACAGTGACCATGACCTCTTTTTGGTGCAGATTTGGCTTTGGGAAGTGCTTTGGAGCTTCTTCTCATCCAACCACTGAGCTGGTCATTGCGACTGTCATATAAAATCCACTTTTCATTGCACATCACACTCCGATTGAGAAATGGTTTGTTGTTGCGTACAGTAAGAGATGACATTTCAAAACGATGATTTTTTTTTTCCATTTTCAGTCAGCTCATGAGGCACCCACTTATTTAGCTTTTTTGCCTTTCCGATTTGCTTCAAATGCTGAACGACTGTAGAACGACTGACCTTCAGTTCTTTGGCAGCTTCTCATGTAGTTGCAAGAGGAAGAGCTTCAATGATGGCTCTCAACTGGTCATTGTCAACTTAACGATGGCCAGCCACTGCGCTCCTCAACTTCAAGGCTCTCATCTCCTTTGCAAAACTTCTTGAACCACCGCTGCACTGTATGTTCATTAGCAGTTCCTGGGCCAAATGCGTTGTTCATGTTGCGAGTTGTCTCCACTGCTTTACAGCCCATTTTGAGCTTGAATAAGAAAATCGCTCGAATTCACTTTTTGTCTAACATCATTTCCTTAGTCTAAAATAAATATAAAATAAACAGTAAGTAATAAGTCATTAGCAAATGCATAAAGGGAGAAATTGGCATTAAAAT